TAATTTGACTTTTACAATGTTAAAAAAATGATGAATATTTTTGGGTACAAATTAAATAGTCAGTTTCTTATTCAAAATGATCAGTGTGAGGGTGTGGGTGGATAAGAGCTGGACACTCACATCCACAGGCACATTCGTACCCTGATCGTGATTACTGACATTCGATATTATTTACTGCTTAGAAAGGATTTATTTACTAATGAAAACTACTGACCACGTTATAAGAAGAACAACTGATCATTTTGAATAAAAACTGATTATTTAATTCGTATCCAATATTTTTACCGACTGAAACTCAATAGATTTTCGTTGGAAGAAAAATTCATTTACATCTTAATTATCATTGAAAGTGCTATAAGTATGATTCGAATCTATCTTCATATGCTTCTATTATGTCGTATCAAATAATATTTTTATTCTTCCAATTAAATGCTTTATATATATATTTTTTTTTGAAAGTTATGCAAATACAAGAATATCATTTCTACCAGCACCACGGCGTATAAATAAAAAAAAATAAGTATTATAAAGAAATGTCACTGTGTATATTAAAATTTTATGTTTCACTTTGACCACCACCACCGGTTGGAAAATTTATTCCATAATGTTGATTAAAACCATTTTCTTCTGTTGTTACACCAGCGAATGGTGATGTCATCGATGTTGGAACATGTGTTGGTGATGATGATTTTTTTAGATTTGTCATAAATTGCATACCAGAAAATACTAATAGAGCAACATAAAGAAATGCTGCAATCCAACAATTATAAGCACGTTGATGAAAAGCTGTTTTAAGTCCACTTTCAAATTCGTTTATGTCTGTTGCATTCTTAGCATCAAATTCAAAATCATCTAATAATGGTGCTGCTTCAACAAAGAAAAATATACCCATTAATATAAATTGTACTATACCCCATACTGAAATAATTGAACAACATAAAGATAATTTTGGTCCGCATATAGGCCACTTCATTTTATTTTAATTGAAAAAAAAGAAACCAAATAAATTAATCTAGAAAAGAAAAGAGTAATTAATAGATATATACTAGAATTCTTGTAAACTGTTATGTTTATATGTAAGAAAAAAAATAAAGAAATGAAATGTTGTAAATAAGTAAAAAAACTATCTTTGGCGTCATTCAAAGTTAAGATAAGAACAGAAAAGTTAAACGTTTGAAGATTTCAACCAATAGACAAATGAGAAATGAAGGTTTAGATATTCAATTAAATTTACCGAATATGTTGCGTTTTAACATTCTAATCTACATGAATAAAGAAAAAACTACTATAATATTTACCGGATATAGTAATCAACAAGAAAGTAATAATTTTAAACAAAGTGCTTATCTGACTTAAGGTAATAAATATACTTTGCCTATATATTCAAACTTTTCAACGTACGTGAATTGAAACTCGTTAGAAAAGAATTGTTTCACACCTATCATATTTAAAGGGTATACGAAAATTAGTTTGTTGTCTCTTTATAAGTTTTCGATAGGACATGCACCATATTACAGATAACAAAAACAGTCTGATTGAATTAAATCAGATGACAAGTATTTATGTTATCGAATCTTTTAAGTTTTGTTTTGATATGAGAAAAATTCTACAACATTCAAAATTAGTTGGGTATTAATTTGACAAGAAATGATTTGATTATTTTTACAGATAAAAGATAGAATCATGTATGATACTCTCAAAAATCAATGATTAACTTAAAAAATATCTCAAGAGACTATACGAATGAAAATTCAAATGAATTTATTCTTCGTTTCAATGAATAAAAAAAATACCTGATACACGATCGAAAGTGTAAAGACTTTGAATGATGAAATAATAACAATAATAATAATAAATGATAAATATCAACTTCTATCATATAAAAAGAAATAAATAAAGGTAACAGTTTCTGTCTTTTTTTTTCGTTGTACAAGAAACGAAAAATATTATCATTATCGGTCATCATTTTCTTATTTTACACGTCATAAATTTACCAATCACTATGAATCAATACGAACAAATGTAAAGGAGTGACATCTGAGGATTTTCGTATTTTTCGTTCGTTTTTCTTTGCATGTCAATGAAGATTAAGTCTATTCATTCAAAATTAAATTAGTATGATTTAATCTGATGTATGTATTTACGACAACTAATCATACTCAATAAGCCAAGAAATTAGTTAATATTCTTTGTAGTGCAAAAGAAATATAGAAAGATTAAATAATTTGAATAGATTCATATGAAGAAGTTTTTTTGATTTAAGTTCAAGTTAGCAACAGTTCAATTCAGAAGAAATGTTTATTTAGGAAAAGTATTCGAATATTAAAAAACTATACCTGTCAGTTTTTTGTATTAATGCAATTTAAAAGTATATTGTATCATCAATATACAGCTCAAATGAGTTAAATAACAGTAAATTTGTAATCAGGTTCATTATATCTTATATCGATTGATCTTTATTTTAGCCGTTTACTAACGCGTACAGTAAATTATATAGGACAATCTATTAGTCAATGAACACATTTGCCAAAGGGAACATCAGAAGACAAAATCAGTAAAAACAAAGTGCTGTTTGTAGTATGAAAGATTCGTTTACAAGGATCACTTGTTCGTTAGAGTATTGCATTGGATGTGTTCTTATCGAATAAGTTATTTATTAGAATACGGTAATAATTTCATGAATTATTTACCCTCTAAGATCATCGTCTAATTCTATGACAACAGATTCAACATGTAAATACACATCTCTTTCATTACAATTATACTTTTATTCAAAAAAATTGATTTTTTATATTTGTTGATATTCAGGTAGATTATCTTAATAGAATCAAATTAGTGAGATTTTGGCGAGAGATGAGACGTAGGATGATGCATCGAATCAACTAACATATCCGTATAACATGTATGTTACTGATTTTGATAATCATAAACTACTGTTGTAGTTGTGATAGCTAAGAGTGGCAGGAAAAAATGATAGCCTACTCAATTATTCAATAGCAGTCCATGGTGATTCGAATCGAAACCTCTATATTGCTGACAATAATAGTTTTAGAATATTGTCATCAGTTGTATTGATAGGGATTCAAGTTCCAGATTGAATCGGTATGGGTAGCATTTAAGTTATTTTTTATCGATAGAAATAAACATTTATATGCTAGTTTTAGTTTGAATCGTACTATAAAAATATGAATAACAACAGCTACAGCTAGTACTTTATTAATCAGTAATAATGATTGTGACTATTCATCTTCTGCTTATACTTATGGTTTGCATGAAATTGTTAGGATCTATATTAATATATCAACTATATAATAAAAATAATAGAATAAAATCTTTAATAACTATTTTTGAATATGAATATTATTTTCGAGCAAGAGTCGACAAAAAATTCATATCTAGTTCGGTTCTCAAACATACATCATTGCGCAATAATTTATTTATTTGGATGCTATAGACATGGTATATAGTTCTGCAGCAAATGATCTAATATATTTAATTAGCCACAAAAAAAAATACAAATTCTAAGCAACGAATAATTTTATCCATAAAAACAAATAGATGATTGATTAATATTCGATGCAAACGTGTATTAGGAGAAATAAGAAATATGTATGTCATTCTTTTTTCTTCTTATATTGTATTATATGTTACTGTATAAAAGGTTATATGTGATATTGTTTCATTCAAATAGACGATGGGAGAAAATTTACCTGCGTCTTTTCATTCAAAGTCATAGTACACGATTGATTTGTTTTTACAAGAGACGCTATTAAAAATTAGATTGGAATAAATGTATGCGTCACTGAATCGTTTCTCATTAGGATGTAAAATATCAAATATGGTCTTGTCATCCTTGAGACCACTATTTAAAATAAAGTCGAAGTAGAATAAGTTTTATAAGTTCAAATGAACGATCTAATGATAACGATAGTTACATTATATTAAGAGAAAATTCATAAAAAGAAAAATTAACCACAAAGAATGTGCGGTAAGGTAATATCAAAAGATATTGATCTAAAAAGAATGAAAAAAAACATGTTAAGAAATATATCGTGTGTTTACGAAATAAATTTCGATGATTTAGTATGTGGTTTGTTTTTTTTTATTATATGTTCTTAATTAACAAACTGTCAAATGAAATAATATCAGCTGTCAATATTTCGAATGCTGCTTTTTATATCTGTACAGATTTGTTCTCATTAAAAGTAAAATAATAAACATGCTGATTTATAATGTTACATTAAATTTACAACAAAAAACTATAATTTCAATCTAGTATTAAATGATGCACGTGTTGAAAACAAAAGCCACTTTTTTTATCGTAATCATAAACGAAAATAAGTACAAAAATGATTAAGATTGATTTATGTTTCAGTCGTTTTTTTTGACATAAATTTCTCACCTAGAATCAGTTTGTTTATCATTTGTTATACCTTGAGTCTTTTTTTTTCTACATACACCACAAGGATCTATATGAAAACAACAATTTATCAAGAGGTCGATATAATGTCTACGCTATTGTAATAATAGACAGAAATGGAATAGATTTTATCTTTTCAACTTTATATACTATTACGCAAACAATTAGTACTCATGGTTAATGAATACGGTCATCGATAAATCGTTCATGTGTTATTTCTACATCAAATTATATACATTGTCAATACAATCAAAATTAAAATATTTTTGTTAGTCAATAACTATCTAGTGAAATAATTTTTGCTTCTTTCATGTATGATGTGAATAGCAATAGTTATTAATATATTCCATTGTATTCTTGATTATATATGTGCATGATTTATAATAATAATAGCAAATTAGTTTGAAAAATTCAATAGGTAACTTAGAAGCATATTTATTTTCTAATGATTTTTAGCTATTTCAGAATTAAAATAAACAACAAAAAAAAAGACTACAATTGATTTAATGTCTGTAATTAATGAAACAAAAATAAATAAATAAATAAATAATGAACGAAGATTTCAACGAAATATTCGTTCTTAATCAGTGTAAACATATCTTGAGCGGATAGATCGAGATGGTGTACTACCTTGGCTCTGACTACTTGTTTTTGATGGTTGTCGTTGTTTAACAACAACATTACCATTTGCTTTTTTAATAATTGTTCGTTCAACAACATCTCGCTCTGGAGTTGGTAGACGACGACGTATTTGTCGATAGACTGGTTCAGGTGTTGGTAATACAATTACTTCACGAAAAATACGAGGTTCACGACGACGTAATGGATTTGGTCCTGAATCGACATATTCAGTTGGTGTTGTTCGTTGTGAGTATTGTTGTGATGGTAGTTGTATGGGTGTTTGTTGTCGTCTTATAGGTGCTTTTTGGGAAAGTGTTGGCATTTGTCGTGATTGAGCAGCATGTTTCTGAGAATATCCTGGTGCGTGTGTTGGTTTCATGGCTGCTTTTTGGGAATATGCTGGCATTGGTCGTGGATGTGCTGAAGTATCATGGGTAAATGATGATATTTGCCGTGGGTGTGCTGAAGTATCATGAGTAAATGATGATATTTGTCGTGGGTGTGCTGAAGCCTCATGAGTAAATGATGGCATTTGCCGTGGGTGTGCTGAAGGCTGTTGAGAAAATGATGGCATTTGTCGTGTTTGTACTGAAGCTTGGTCAGAAAATGAAGGTATTTGTCGTGGTTGTATTGGGATTTGTTGACGATATGATGATGTGTGTTGTAAATGTGCTGGTAGTTGTTGAGTATATGCTGATGATGGTTGAGGATATGATGGTGCTTGTTGAGGATATGGTGGTGGTGGTGGTGGTGGTAGTGGTTGTTGTTGTTGTGGTTGGTGGGGATATGACGGTGCTTGTCTTGGTTGTGAAGATACTCGTTGATGATGATATGGTGTTTGTCGTGTTTGTGTCTGTGTAGGTGCTTGTTGTGGTTGTGCAGGTGCTTGTTGAGGATATTGTGATGATTGTCTTGCCCGTTCTGGTGCTTGTTGAGGAAAATGTGGTGCTTGTTGTGCTTGTGCAGCCGCTTGTTGATGATACGATTGTGCTTGATGTGGTTGTGCAGATGCTTGGTGAGGAAATTGTGACGCATGTTGCGCTTGTGCAGCTGCTTGGTGTGCTTGTGCGGCTGCTTGGTGTGCTTGTGCAGATGCTTGCTGTGCTTGTGCTTGAGCTTGAGCCTGAGCTTGTGCTTGTGCTTGTGCTTGTGCTTGAATTTGTGCTTGTGCTTGTGCTTGTGCTTGTGCTTGTGCTTGCGCCTGTACTTGTGCATGCGCTTGTGCTTGTGCAGATGCTTGTTGAGCATAAGCAGACATTTGCTGTGCTGTTATTGGTGGAAACATCGGTCTGTGTTGTGATAAATAGAAGTTATTTGGAATGGATGGCGATGGAAAATTAAATCCGAAATTTGAATAAAATGGTGGCGGTGGTGGTGGTGGTGGGAAACCCATAAATGATGTAAAAGGATTGAGTACGGCTGCCATATTGAGTAAACTGTATACAAAAGAAAATTATTCACAAGACAAAACAGTGTATTCTGCGTTTTGTAATGAGTTATATACGATACCTTGTCAGCTAGGACGTAGGTGGACGAAAATGATGAGAGAGAGAGAGAGACAGAGAAATAGAAACAGAGAAAAGAAAAGAGTAAAACGCAAAGGGCAAAATACAGATTACAATAATAAAAAAAAAAGAAGAAGAACGAGTAATCGATCAATGTTAAGGTATAATGTATACACCCGAAACGGCCGTTTAGTGTATGATGTATATGCAAAAAAATATCAAAAAAAAAAGATAGTTTTCTTCAATGATGAATGATATCTCTCTGTTTGTTCGTCTCAACAAACTGATGTAATTAATGAATATATACAACCCGTTATATGTATGTATAGGATGTGTTTCTGTATGATGACAAGGAGAAACGAACAGACATTTCGATTCAACATACCGTGACAAATGTAAAACAAAATATATATGAATATAACAAAAAAAATTGGTGAATTCTCTAGAAGAATTTCGAGGACAATAACAATAACTTTCTTTTCTAAACAAATATCATGGTCAAAGTAGAATTGTTAACTAAAATTTAAAATTATTTTTAATCTAAACAATCAACTAATTCTAAACATGAATTTCTCGCATATATTTTGTCAAATTAGTTTCATATATATATATATATATATATATTCAATTCAACATTGCATCAATACAATGTGGTTTAATTTATATTAGCAGACATATGTTTTATAGGAATAGAAAGAAAATATACAATGTGGTTTTGTTTATCACGTATTTTCGGCGTGATTAATAAAATAAATCATATTTTTATTTGTCGGATACTGTTCGATGAGCACGAATAAAAAAAAAACGATCTTATCATCGAAGCATGTTTGTAGTCATTTTTCGATGATAATATAAGATTACATATTTTATTTATCAAATAACCGAAAATTTAGTGGAAATTTTGACGCTAAAAATTGTAAAATAATTTTATATTGAAAAATAAATATGTTATGATAAAATACTATCGACTATTTTGTATTACAAACGCGAAAGATATCATACGGCCGTGAACTCAAAGAAGAAATATGATGTGTAAAAAAAAACACATTACGAAAAAGTTAATATCTGATCATTCATGCTTCCCATCTGAATTCGTGAGATATATTTTCTAAAATCAATATTATCTTATCGTCGTACTTCACACGAATTAAATCGATACAATCTAAACATGATTTTCAAATGTTTTCCTACTGTTTATCAATGATTTCATTGAGATAAAATGTTATACATCATTACTAAATAAAATCAAAATCTATTGTGAGTTTTTGTTTACAATATTTCCTTTTCTTCGCTACTGATATAATTCGATAATAAATTAGTTTATTGCTTTATTTCAGATATATTTAAGTCGATACATCAATCAATACAAAGAAACGAATAAATAATAATCGAAAATATTCCATAAAGACTTATTAAAATTGATTCTCAATGTTTATAATATTCCAGTAGCGATCTATTTGGTTGGCGTATACTTCTGAATATGCACCAATATATTTGGTCCATATTATACCCTTACAAAACGTTGTCTTTTTATGTGATCTTTGAGATATAATATAGAGCAGTTTTTTTATCTACTACGTTATCTAACACTTTTACATAAGAAATGTCTTCTGCAATCATTAATTTGAATGATTCTCATTTATATTATACATGCTGTATCATTATACTATGTCCTCTTATATGGAATATAGTAGCACGTTTATTTCATATGTTACTACCTAGAAATACTCCAAAAAATATACGTTATATAGTATGTTATTTATTAATGATATGGATATTTTCATTTTCATCATATCGAGATTATTTAATTCGAAAAACGATACAAAATCAACCGCAATTAATTATATCAGAAGAATATTCGATGTTATTAAAATTAATTTCAATTGCAATATTTATACTTGGACAAATATTTGTTTTATCATCTTTTTATAAACTAGGTATTACTGGAACATTTCTAGGTGATTATTGTGGTATTTTAATGGATGCACCAGTAACAACATTTCCATTTAATGTATTAAACAATCCAATGTATGTTGGATCAACATTATCATTTTTTGCTTTAGCATTATATTATTCTTCACCAGTCGGTTTCTTACTAACAACAGAAGTTTATATCGTTTATCAAATAGCATTACTATTTGAAGAACCATATACAAGATGGATTTACGCACAAAAAAATAAATAATTTATTATTGTTGATTGTTTTGTTTTTAAAAAATATATAATCAACTATAAAAATACAGCCATTTTTTATATCGAAAAATAAGAATTCAAAAAAATTAGATTCCATTTACAGATTTACTAGTGTAATGAAAAAATGTCCTCAATGGAATCCAACTATATAGATAAAATATATGTATGTCAAAGTAACTTATACAAGAATGCGACAAAGTGACATCGGACGCGTAGTTTATCCTAAGTCTCGTAATGAGAGACAAAACAGAATAATTATTCTTGTCGGTTGTTTACTACTTTCATCAGACGAATTGATGTACACGACATAAAAGTAATTTGATAATAGAAAAAACACTATGTCGTTTACAAATAAAATATGTATTTTTATTATTTGTATAGTTGTTACTATATTGAAAATAATGTATATCAATAAATAGTATATAAAATCAGGACTTAGTATCAGTTGACCGTTTATGGATCATCGTTGATAATTGAGTACTTTATCCTTCGACGACGTTGAGACATTAAGAGATACTTAACGTGATGGAAGGCAGCTGTTGCCTAAGTCTCACATGTTTTTTATATACAGTAAAGACTATAGTCTAAACTTTCAATATGTGTCTCTTATTCTTGTAAATTAACAAAATGAAACAGTTTTTTAATAACAAATAATTTATTATTCGTTCTTTAGAAGCGACGATTTTCAAATAAAAACTAATCTTTATACTATTATAATTTATTTATTTCCTTTTCTATTCATTGGAAGAAGTGATAATACATTATATATGACACTTTATATCGTATAAAACTAAGTTTATTCATTTACAACAACATGTAATAATAATATGTCTGTATGTATATATCTCAAGAAAAGATAAAGTATCTTTTTACCATCTTTTCTTCAGTTGTGTATTCGATGTTTACTATGTCATAAAGCTAAAATACAAATCATTAAGATCTAAAAGATACAATGCCTTTAAATACACTCTCAATGGCACATTTATCTTATCTTAGTATATCTATAGAGTAACAAAGTTTCTTCTTCTTCTATTTTAAATACTTTCAGATAGATATTCATAAGCAAAAAAAATCTTTAGAACAATATCTATTAAGTTGTTATGTATTTTAATGATAAATCGTTTATTTATATTTAAAAAGAAAAATGTCAAAGGGTGGAGTTTTTCTCAAATAGACGATTATGATGTATATATTTGTATTGACAAATCATTGATTCATTAAAAAAAAATGATATGATTTTGTAATAACACGCAATCATTATTAATCCAATCGAGAAAGAGATTAACGAAAGAAAAAGTTCACTGATCGTATAATCGTTTAGATCATTATAGAATTGACAATCATTTCTTTTTTTTTATTGTTGTCTGTCATTTAACATAACAATGGTCAGTAGTTCGAACAATGTCTGGCGTCTTTTTTGGACTCTTATACACGAGTGGTTTTGTGATACATTTATTCATCTGTATATTGTCCATACAATATTAGTCTTCCGGAATAATAGCCGACGATATAATAATGGAGGTATATTATATAAATATTTTTGAGTTATAGTTGGTACATATTTTTATATAGAATAGTTCTATGATTATAAGGTAAAAGAAATTCATTGAATAAGATTATATCATGGATTTTGATAAATGACTTATCATCTATGAATAATGATGATAATCACTAATTTTATTATTTTTGATATTATCAGTAAGGTAAAATATCGAATAACTAATTTTGGTAGATGACATATTAATCAATAGAGATATTTTTTTAGTTCGATGAATCATTCAATAATAATAAGAGAAAAAAAAACATTTGTTGATAATAAAGATTAGTTCGGTCAAAATAACAGTTGACTGATCGTAGAAAAGGTCGTTTATAGATGTTTATTTATTTACAATATAACTTCGTTCGTTATCTAAACTTCAATTGAATAAAATTATTCAATGTACATTATTTAACTATTAAGAATTATTCAAGAGTAATAAAATATAAAACAGATTTTTGTTATGTATTCTTATAAATACATCGATAGGCAAAACAATTCCTGGTTAATATCTATGTGTAGCATGTTGACCGCTTTTCCTCTACTATCTAATTTTCTCACTAGAAAAGAGCGAATGAATAATGACTATGGTATATTACGTTTCTTGCCTTCTTCTCTTCTTGTATATCCAATGATTGCTGGGTGTACTCATTGTTTATATGTGCATGCGGCACAGCGGGCAATTTTTCTCTCTTTATTTGTCTGTACATTCTGCGTAGGTTGTAGACGGGAAAAGAAAAGAGCGAACAGGAACATTACAAAAATATCTCGGATAATACGTATACGTGTATAGTTCTCACTGGTGATATTCCTTGTGAAAGAAGCAACATTTTATTCTTAATAGAAAATCTCTGTCTATTGAGAATGTCAGATCTAAACGAAGATTCATGTACGTAATTATTCTATTAAATCATTTATATTTTTTCAATTAATAAAAAAAAATATAATCACGAGTGAATTCATTTTTTTTTTTCTTCTATTAATAGCAATCGATTCTACTGATGTACCTAATGATACATTAGAACGTTTACGAAATATAACACAAATGTTCAGTGGAAGAGTAGATGAACATCAACAATTACAAAAAGTTGAAAGATTTACACCAAGTGAAAAAATTAAAAATACATTTCAAAAGTAAGTCTATATTTTCTATTTATTGAACAGATGTTGTTTATTTGTTCTTATAAATAAAATCATGATAATTTTCTTTTTACTAGATTTCAAGACATAGGTTTATCAAATGGACAACTTGAAGATGAAGATAATGATGATGATGATAATAATAATGATACAAATTCACAATTAGATGGAATTATTCGATCAAAAAGAATAAAGAAACCAGCAAAAGAACATGTAGAAAATTATATTTTTCTATTTACTGTTGTATTTATAAATATGTTTTAGATTCCTTATCATGAAATGGCGGAAGTGAAAGATAAATTTGAAAAAGGTTTAATTGATAGCAATAAACCACGTGTAGAAAAACGTTTAGATGTTCGTGTACAAAGTGGTTTAACATCATCAAAAAAACAAGCATTTGAACAAGGAGAATTTGAACAAGAAACTGAACCACATATTAATAAAATACAAATAGAAACGGATCTTGTTGCTGGTTTAACATCATCGAAAAAACAAGCATTTCAACAACAACAAATGGAGAATGGAACAAATACGATGAATAAAACTATTATTACGGAACGTGATGCATTAGTTGGTGTTGCAACAGCGAAAAAAGCTAAATTTGAAAGTGGACAATTATCAGATCGTCCAAGAATATCAATATGTCCTGATGAAATAGCAAATATTGTTGGAGCAGGTCTTGCTCAAGCAAAACGTTCAGAATTATTATCAAAAATTGATGCTGAACAACAAATACAACGTTCATCTGATCGATTTATTGATATTGATGCAGAACAAGGTTTAGCAACAACTCGACGTGATCAATTGGCATCATTAGCTAATAGTGAATTTAAATCTACAGAAAAATCGATTGATGTAACAGCTGGATTAGCAACTGCAATTAAAGAACAATATATAGCTGATGCAAGTAAGGCAACATCAAAAATATCAGTTCCAATGGATGATATTCAAAGTGGTATGACTAAAAATCGAACAACAGCATTTGAAAAACTTGATGAAACGACAGTAAGTTCATCTAACATGAATTTTCTTTACATTTATTGTTACATAATTCTGTTTAATTGACTACCAGTGAAGAGATTATATAGAACAAGTTGAAATAACGTTTTTTTCCTCTTGAGATTTGTTTTTATTTAGAACAAAAAAAGAATTCCTTTTTAATCATATTTCTTTTATGGAATAAAATAAAAACAGTTTCTTACGATTACTCGATTTATAGGTTAAACGAACAGTAGATATTGATAGTGAATTTCGTGAGCGTGGTGTAGCAAAAGAACGTGTAGCTATGTTTAAAAATTTGGAAAATGGTACACAATCATCAACAACAACAAACGGTTCTGGTGATACAAAAATACGTATTGATGTAAGTTTAAACTTAATTTCTTGTTTTTTTACTTATTGAAATAAGAAGAAAATAGTTTTAATTTAAATATATAATTACAATATGTACAGGCTTTTCGATGGCACGTTAATATGTGTCAACCGATAAATGGTACTCTTTTAAAAAGAAAACATCCAAAAATTGTAGGTTTTCGCATTTTCTTATGGGATTAATTCTTTATTCTATTTTACAAAAAAATTTACTAATATAATTGGGTTTGCTTGAAACTAATTTATAAATATGTGTATGAAAAATTTCCATTCTTATTTTATTTTAGCGTGTCGACTTTTCTGACACGCTTATCAATATGAGTGTAAGATTGAAAATAAAATCGACGAGTGTGGATCAACCCATCGTTCCGATCACCTCTGATGAGGTATTTTAAATATATATATTCATCTTGAAAATATTTTTTCTATTGTATTGGCTACATATGCTTCAATATGAGTATGATATATATATTATACTGCAAAGCGTACATAATGCTTCATTTTGATTTCCTATTTTCCCAAGAGCTCTTCTTTCTTTCTTTATACATATTTTTCCTTAAATGCACTATTGCGATACCTTGCCGATTGATTCCGATTAAATTTAAATTTATTGCTTTATTATACATTGTTCCCTTTTTCACAAAACGTACCTTCTCAATACTATTTTATATACCAATGACAACAGCATGAATAATTCAAGTTATTTTCTTTCTCTTTTACTCTTTGATAACAAGATCTTCATTATAAATCATGTAAATAGTATAATTTTATTGCCTATTGAAATATGTAGAGAGGTTTGGATAGTTATTCATCGATGTGAATAATTGATATTTTACACATAATTTACTGTCTCTATGTATTTGACTAATAGCGAAAGAACAAAATGACTTGTATGTTTATACGATTTATATTAGATTTCTCGTCTAATGAAGTTAATTTTCATGATTATAGAGTAATCGATGGGTATTTGCCACATATATATATATTCTATTCGATTAAAAATTTACAATGAAGTAAAGGAAAAGAGTATTAGTTACGTCAGAGAGAAATGACTATAAAATAACCTTCAATCGGTGGCAGACGAGTGCATGTACGCGTTCATTTATCAT